CCTATCTACAGAAGCATCTGGGCAATATTGTGTCCCTCTTGGCAGACTGTGTAGAAGGGGAAGTGGAAGACTCTCTGGTATCTAACTTTCTTGCTGCCTTAACACTCCTGCATTTTAGGTTCGCTTCTGTAGGCCTATTTTGCATTTATTTTGTTTGAATAGTTATATTTAATTTTGAGAATGGGCTCATGCATCCTTTGTTTTATTTTATACTTATAACAACCTTTTGCTAGATTAATTTCATTCTTGGCAGTATTCCTGTTGTTGGTGCTAGTTAGGACGGTTCATGGTAGAGATGCATTTGTCATATATTCTTACTTTGCATTTGTGTCCGCTTGAGCCTTTAACTGGTGCTGATTTATCCTCTAGGTTGTATCAATGGATATATTTGAGCACATCGGATTCCTATTGTACTTTGGGGAAAAGGGATTGGAGAGGAGCCCCCTGAGCCAAATTTCTCCATTTTTTGCCAATTCAGATCCCGACATGCCTGCTGTTCCTGTTCCTGCATCACAAGTTCTTGATTGGCTTCTAGAAAATGTAGCCACTGCATTGGAACATATTTCTGAGAGAATTTCTTTAAAAGAAAATGGGCCAAGCAGTGCCTCTGATCAAGATGTTACAATGGCTGATGTCAGCACAAGTCCAGCAAAGGCCTTAACCTGTGCTAGAGGTCCAAGCTTCATTGAAGGGATCTCTAAGTCATCATATCTAAAGCAAGCATCTGATCTTAAAGGCTCTTCTGTAAAGGTGAAATTTTTTACTTGTGTGCCATTGCATCTGCCCTTCTTTTCTTACTTGTTTTAGCAGAAATTTTGATTCAAAAACCATTTTTCATCTTACAATTTGAGTTTTGAAATCAGTTCCCAGGCTAATGCATGTGTTTTCAATTGCTTAGATTCATAAATATGAGTATTGAGGTGCTTTATTAGATACTAATGAATTTTAGTTCAACTGTAAACCCATGCTGAAAATGAAGTATTCTGGAATTTGTATTACGTAGCTTAAGAGGTATCTTGTTGGCTCAACCAGATAATTGACCAATCTGCACTGAATTGGAATTAAACTTCCTATAATCTGTGGGCAGCTGACGAGTCCCGTTGTTTAGAATATCTTTTGTCATGCATGCAACAAAAGTTTAAGAGAGGTGGGTGGTGGATTTGTAAGGCATTGCTAATTTTTACCATACTCTAGCAACTTCAGTCTCCATCCTAACAACATAAGGGGAAAAACGTGAAATTCGTCAGAGTTAAAATGAAATGTATTTCATGTGAAAATGTCAATTGGTCAAAAATGTGAGTTAGTTAAGTTACTTTCGAGCCACCGCACCTTGACTATTTGCTTTGGGAAGCCTCTCTCAAAATTGATGATGTATGTCAATTGGTAAAGAATGTGAGTTAGATAAGCAATTACTAGCCACCGAACCTTGACTATTTGCATTGGGAAGCCTCTTTCAAAGTTGATAATGTATGTCAAAATTAATATACACTCAGCTTCGTCCTGGCCAGGTTTATATCGTCTTTGTTTTGGGCATACACGTTTTAAGTAAAATTTACTCATGTCAGTGCAAGCAACTTATCACTTGGCTTTTTGATATTGGCAGGTTGTAAATTGCCACGAATCAGTGATTTACATTTTAGCACCACTGAGATATGCAACCGTCTATGGATGTTCTGATGCAACTATTGTTCTGGGAGCTGTGGGCAAGGTACATATACGGTTATCCTTCCTTAAGAACTCTCTCTCTCTTAATTCCTTGCTCGATATTAACGTGCGAATTCAGATACCTTTTTTTGGTGGCTTGTTCCAGTGATGCATTTTAATGATGACGTACTAGCTATGATGTTGATAAAACACTACGGTCTGTGCTAGATATGCTACGAGTTATTAAGATTATGATTGACTATACATGTGATTTATGATTATGTGTTTCCATCTGTACGTGCTGTGCTTGAATTTTATTTTTAATTCAATTTGTTTGAGAGTATTTGAATACACCCTGGATTATTTTCTTGTACAGGCTGTTAGAGTGGAACATTGTGAGCGTGTTCATCTAATCACTGCAGCAAAACGTATTTGTATTGCCAACTGTCGTGAATGTGTGTTTTTCTTGGGGGTAAATCAACAACCTCTAATGGTTGGTGATAACCATAAATTGCAGGTGAGAGAGACTTCATTTTTGCTGCATATGTCTCTGCATCATGCTAGCATTGCACTCACCACTTGGGACACACCTTTTTCTTCTTGATAGCCCCTAAAGTTTCTGGAACTTGCATAAAAGTTTTCTACTAACGGGTTTCTGGACATATTAATCTATCTCCTTGATGCTCCCAAACATTTTGATCTCAAATGCTCTAAAGGATTTGTAATAATGTTGGGTCATGTTATGTGTCACATGTCAATGAATATTGACATCAAATTTCTTCTCTCCCCTTTTTATTTTTAACAGGTTGCTCCATATAATACATTTTACTCACAATTGGAGGAGCACATGAATCAAGTTGGCATTGACCCTAGTATCAACAGGTGGGATGAACCTGTGGCACTTGGAGTGGTTGATCCCCACGATTCATTATCTCATCCCGCTGGTGTCTCAGATGTTCAAGCTGAATCTGCTACCCGCCTAGACCCGGATCAGTACACTAATTTTTTGGTTTGTACATTATTTTGTGCAATCTCTTGGTTCTGGGATGTTGTAATATTTTATGCTATGTGTGATGTCGATGTGCTAATTCACTTATCATTTGTATTTGACACGAATGTTCGCAAAACCTTGAATTTCAACTGTATGAACTCTAATTTGTTCTTTTTATGATGTGCTAGCACATTTCATTTTTGGGGATCATTGATGCCAGCTTTTCTCAGTTTTTTAGAAGTTTCTGCTTTAATGTACATGTTCACTATGTGCAGATTCCGAACTGGTGGGGAGATGAATTTGATGGGTCCACAAAAGATAATCCTTTTACTTTACCTCATGCTTACCTGGCATCTCAACAGAGAAATGTATGTCCACGCCCCCAATATTATTCGTGCAAAATTTTGAAAGCTGCCCCACCACCCTTACACACCCAATTTTCTGTTTTTTCTTGTGTTTGTTTCTCTCTTTTTGGGGTTTGGGGGTGGGGGTGAGGGTGTGTTATTTAGAATGCCAATGATCGTTCTTAAATTGTAAAAGTCGAATTTCAAATTCTCTGATGCATTTTTTTTTTTTTTTTTTTTTTAGCACAAAAACATGGAGGAAATTAAGCAAATTTTGAGAGAAACTCCGCTTGAAGACAGTAGGAAACGGGAACTATCAAGTGCGCTCCATGTATACTTCAAAGACTGGTTATATGGTAATGTCTTGTTGTAACACTGTTCTTCCGTAGTCAATTCTATCTCCTATCCATCCAGGATATAGGCATGCTTCTTGAATTTTGTATTTTCTTTTTAACGTTTCTTAAAGTTTGTTATATCAGAAGTCGAGACTTAGTGCTATCAGAAACTGTACCCAAGAATAATTTTCTGCACTACCCCCAAAAATAATACATATTAAAAAAATAGAGAGAGAGAGAAAAAAAAATAAGAAAAAAAATCACCGCAAACCCTGCCAATACAACCCAAATGACAGCTGATGTTTCCGGTTGCATTTGATTTCTGATTCCATCCTGGGAAGTTTACCCTTCAACTTTAGATTAATGAAAGTATAAAGGATCTGTAATTGAGCAGTGACAATTTTTTTCATTCTCAAAGTTAAGGCTAGCTTTTCATGCTAGCTTGATGGGCAGAGGTGATTGTTTCCTTAATTGCCGTGGCAATAATTCCTGAATTATACTAAAACTTGCCATTATGGACACACTACACTCTAAATGTATGTATGGTGTACAGTGTTAGAACAGACAGGACACAAGACCACATAAGATTTTAACTTATTTTTTTCATTATTCATATTGTATCCATCCTACCAAGCACGCCGGTACCTTCTAATCCTTTTTCACGAGATGTTCTCTATACTATTCACTGTATGTGCCTTTTTTCAATCTATCATATATTCATATTACTCCTGGATCCCAGTAAAAGTGTCTTGCTTTATCACTCTTTTTGTATGATTCAACAGCATCAGGAAATATTAGGCAGCTTTACTGCTTACAAGGTGAATAAGCAAGCACGAAACTGATTGATCACAATAGAAACGATAAAGTTCAGACGTCAAAGCTTGCGTATTTCACTTCGATTCGAGCATTGACTAGTTCAGGCTCCTCTTGCCATTTTTGTTGATGCTGGAGTCAGATGGCATCTGGAACTTTAGTACTACTGTTGACTTAACTACATCCAGTCAGTTCAGACTTTTGAACTATTGTGCATATTGCTTTTAGAAAAAAAAAACATTTGCTTGCTTGCAACTGTATTTCAGTATGAACGAATTTGTCCCATCTTTTATTCTAGTTATGTTGTATTCGAGTAGAGGATTTTCTTTCCAGGATCTAAGTGGAAGTGTGTACCTTTCATATTGTTTATCTCCAATCTAATGACATGGACAGTCAGTTGTCCGTGCTGATGTTTCACCATTCACTTTGATCATCCACGAGAGATGCAGGAGAATCTATGCTTCGAGTGTTCTTATGAGTTTAATTGTGCTTATTTTTAATTGAAAATTTCATGAAATATGAATTTCTGCTAAAAAATTATATAATATGAATAAACAGACTTGTATGTATGTATTCGGTCATAGAGTTCAAACGACAGGATCAACTTGATTGCAGATGTCTTCTCACTCACTCTGATCGCCTGCTTCCATAATTCAATTTGATCACTTCATTCCACAATTCAGATGCAAAGGGAGTCACATTGTTAGGACTTTCGTATGATAAATTGAGATTAAAATTTGAGCCCAAAATCCACTTTCTTGTTACAATGGTTGTTCAGGGAAACGACGAAGTAGGAAAGTCGTTAGTGTGCAGAAAACAATTCTGCAAGAAGAATCGGGAGATCAACAACGGGAAGTATATATAAACCAGTTATGAGTTCTAACGATTATTATCCATTAACAACAAATGCATTTTGCAAGAAAATGTTCAACGCTACCTCACAGCTTTTCCATGATATATGAGCATAATCAAGAACTACAAGTATCCAAATGGAGATTTGTCTCTCATGGTGGAAACTCAAAAATAACAGTAAACTTATTCAAATTCACAACATGAGAACAGAAACAAAAGCCCAAAGGACATTAAACATCTTAAAGGAGGAAACAGCGAGACAGAAAGAGTGACCAAGTGGCCCAATTAGAGCTTTCCTTGCAAAGAAGCAACAATGAAAAGGGTAAAAGAGTCAATCCACAGTGGGCCTCTTTTTGATGGTGTAAGGATAGTACTCTTTGCCATTATCAATTCTCGTGGTCTGACCTCCAGCATCAATGACAGCAGATGTCACTGCAAGAGCTGCTCCCGCAGAGATTGCTGAGGATATGCTCCTTCCTGTCAAGGATGATAAAGATAGAAGCCAAAAACATAAGCACCATTCCAAAGTATTACCACCACATGGGAAATAGAACATTCAACCCTAAAACTTAGACCTGCCTTTCAAATCAAAATGAGTCCAAATATCAGGACTGTATCAGCACATAAATTCGTTAAAATAACAATTTTAACAATGCAGATTTATTCAGGCAGGATATTAGTCTTTGTTTCCAATATGGAATGGTAAAATCATTCGGCTTGATAACATCTAAAATGATGGAAGATAGAATGAGGCTACAGCCTGTTAACTATGAAGATGCAGCATAGACCCTTGGGCATAAGAGCAGGATAATTAATTCATAACTTATATAACACATCATTGGAGATATAAATATAAATAAATCAATCTTCTTTTTAACAGCTTAAACTTTTTTATGAGCGAGTCATTCAATATACAGTATCGGAGCTCTAAAGGTCCTAATTCGTGTCTCTTAAGTCTAATCACCAATTTATGAGAAATTGCCACGTCATGTGTTAACCCAGTCAAATGAGACCATTAACCTGACATGGACATGGGATGTCTTCCAACCGAAGACACTAGGGCCATCTAGAATGCCAAAAAAAATGTGCAAGTCTATCTTGGAACAATCAGGAAACGGTGCAGCCCATCATTTTTGAGACAAGGACCGTAAGCCAATTTGGACCTGTAGAGGTCCAAACTCGTACATCAGTGTGTAAGACATTTCTCAAGCTGCATAGAAGAGCTTGGACAAGGAAGCCCAGTTCAACCTTGCTCAGTTTGGCATCTGTGCAGAGCTCGCATAAAGCACAAGGTGGCCTAATATGCCAAACAAGGTATGACGCATCATAGGACGTAACACGTTACGGGCTCCAGGATATAGCAACTCAGCAATTGTATAACATGGCTTCTTTAACAGACCCCCTAAACCATTCGATAAAAAATACTAAGCCGTTCACATGGTGCAGGGTGAGACTGTGAGAGAGATTCCAAAATTTACAAACAACCGGAACAGGTGATAGGCGCGCCTTAGTTTTCTAAAAACCAAACGTCAGTTGGATGGAGAGGGATTCGAACCCCCGGTATTCCAGCACCAGGCAGTGTACGTAGTGCGTCTCTTATGCCCACAAAGGTAAATGAAAAATGGTGGTCTCAGCGGATCTGGTGTCTCTTGCTGTTATAAATCCAGTATAGGAAGGGTAAGAATACCAAAGTCATTCGGGGTCATGGTTCTTATTGAAACAATAAATAAGTCGGTCCTTCCCTCTAGTCAAGAATAGAGATTCTTGATGTAGTAGTTGCTTGTAATTTTTTTTTTTTTTTTTTCCGGCATGTCGCTCCTCTAGCAAGGTGTGCCACGCACGAGCGGAGCGAAAAGAAAGCAAGGGGAACTCCCACTATGTTGAATTTACCACTCTTCTACAGTAAAATCTGTCTTGAGAAATGAAATGCAATAGCTGACCCTCAGTTTCCAGTGGTCAAGCGGATTCTAAATGTCCTATTTTGCAGAATCTAGTATATTTTAGGTGCAAATAGTCGACTCGGAGATGATTCGGACATCAATGTCAAGTATTAGAACTCTCCAATTTTAGATGAAGTGGTCATTTAATACACATAATCATCAAACACTAAAAACTGAGAAAGTACATACTTGTCTAGCTTTAAAATTCAAAAAGAAAAAAAGTAACATTTAAGTTCAAAAGCAAACTTTTCAGGACATACAAGTCCTTTAGAATATTACAAAAGAAACCTTAACATACATGTTTTCTACTACTTTCATCCTTGGGCATCTAGTTTACAATATTTGTTTATATCAAAACTAACGACTAATTCTAGTTTCTCGAGTTAATAACATCAACGATATGCCTTTTCTCATTAGCATATTATCTTCACCTATTCCAAATTTCAAACTTAAGAAAATACATAAAATAATAATTGAAAACCCGAGTCAAATTGAACAATTGAATCATTCATTATGCAAACTTAAAAAACACCCACAGTGTTCTAGTTTTGTAATTTATTTTTTTTATCTAACTTATCGATATTCTATGGCTTAGTATCTTGTGCGAAAAAACTCATTCTTTCTGCTTAATTTTGTTGATCTAATATTTTTAATAAATTAGGAAATATCCAAGCTTGATAAGAAAAACAATGAGAAATCCATATGGAAAAATACAATCGAAAAAAAGAAAAAAAATGAAAAGAAAAGTAAAAGAGAGAGAAGCACAAATGTGATTAGTTTATTCTGTGTACTTCCACTGTAATGGTAAAAACAATACACAAAAGCATTCTTTTTTTTGCAACTTTTTCCAAAATATTATTCAAAAATATCTTCATGGTCTTAAGAAAGTTTAAAGTAACTATCCTCTGAACTGCAAGGACTTGTATTAAATTTTCAGGAAAAAAAAAGAAAAAATAAAAAATTATTGAGTGCATAATTGGCATGACGAATAGCTATAGTCAATTAACAATATCTGCCAACTGCCAAATATGCCAGCAACACAAATGGTTCAGTTCTTATCTTAATAAATATTCAGCAATGATATCTGGAAGCATTTCAATAAATGGTGTGTCTTCTGTAGGTGAAGAAAACAAAAGGTGAAAACAGCAGAAATACTTAATTAGAATGACCCTCTCTTCCCGTTAAAGAAAACTTAGCGATCATATTCTCAATTGGCACGCAAGGGGACACAACCACAAATTAATATATGTACAGATAATCACAAACCAGCAAACATATAAGGTAGCAATAGAAATTATCCTCAAGCCCATTTGAGATAGCTGATAAAAATGTGCCTCTATGCACACTTTTGCTTAATTGAAATGAGCATCTTGTGCCTGTCTCGTCCTTCAGTGACTGGGAGGTAGGCAAGCTCCTTGAGGTTCTGATGAGTGATTGTTGGGGTCGATGAAGACGTTGACAAGGTAGAGTTACCGAGGGTAGATTGGTTTGTGGATGGATTGGAGGAGAGAATTATGAGCGGCATGAGAGGAGGCATGCTTGTGAAATTTATGTAGATGCACCCGATGTCTTGTTGGTTAAAGTTCATAGATACCTAAAAACGTTGGGGGTGACCAAATTTGTTTCTGGGTGCTTATAAGTCACAAAAGTTACTTATAATCATCTTTGATAACTTCCCCAGAGACTTCACAATGTCTTATAATCCATTTACATGCTTATAAGTTCACCTTCTATTTACATCAAGTAATATTTGCATGGGACATGTCACATTATAAAATTGTATTTATCGAGAAGAACCATACTATTTAGGGTAGAAGAAAATTTCACCTTTATAACCCAGAACAGAAGCACCAGCAACAAATCCACCAACAGCTCCGTTAACAAAGTCTCTTTTCATCCTATACTTCTGAGCCAACTGCTCGACGCCAATGTAGACTCCGCCGACAGCAGCAAAAGTCATCCCATAATTACCCATCATCTTCAATGTCCTAACTAGACCTGGAAGTGCAATACTCCTCTCAACTCGAGGAACATCATGCCAAGTAGCTACAATGGTACCCCAAATAGTGCCTGCAACTAGACCTGCAGTTGCACCTTTTATGGTTTTAATCAATGGACTTGTTTCATCTTCCATCTGTCTAAGCTCCTTCTGATCCATTGCTTTGTTTTAAAAACTAGATAACAAAGTATGTTGTGGAGAAAAATCAGTCCTGAACAAGTGCTATTCTCTCAATTAAGTTAATTGAAACAAATGTAAAGATGCAGTAAAAAATGGATAGATCCAGAACAAAATATAAAAGCAAAAGAATTACTACGGCCAGACTGGCGTGACAACGCCTAAAAGATACAGAAAAACAGAAATTTCATTAGAACTACAGGAGTACAAAAAAACTATAGAAAATGTCTCTGCTAATACAACACACATACTTGACCGTTAACAACTTTACCCGACTCAATTTTCAACACTAATCCTCCCTTACACTTGCAACAACCCTGTTCAGTGGATAAATATTCAACATACAGAAAACTAAATAGTATTCCCTTTTCAGTGGATAAATATTCTAAATACAGAAAACTAAATAGCATTCCCATTCACAAATTCTTTTGGCACCATTACCCTTTTATGTACAATACAGGGTTAAGAAATCCAGAATTAAACCCCCTGTTAACAATTTTATCCAAGTCAGCCTCCCAAATTCCGACTAATAGTGGTCCAAATTTTCAAAATCATTTTTTTAGCTGCATTGTACTACACTCCACCAAACTTACAGTTCCTAAAATCCAATCAAGGGTTAAATAGTCTAAAGCGTAAACCCGATCATGAATACACTATTAATTATATACCAAAAGACACCTCTAAATTGAGAAACTAACTACTTTTCAATGTTTTATCGGATAAATTTTCCGCCTTTAAGCTTCGGCCCTAGAATTCAACCTTATATTATTTCCTTCAACGATTTAAAATATGCAAGAAAATAAAAATAGCTGTGGCCATATATTGTGTATACGCCGTTCTCTATGTATGAAAACGAATGCACGTATCGATATGTAGAAAGGAAAGAGGATGCTTACCTGAATTGGCAGTGATCTGTGTGGGCGAGCTAGCGAGAGAGCACAGAGAGAGAGAGATCAAGGGAGAAAATGAAGTATCGTGCTACAAAGCCCAACGTACAGGCCTTTCTATTCGGCCCATCCCAGTAATGAGCCACAGTCCTAAAATTTGGCCCATTACGTCAATAAGCCCACAACTGTAAGGCTTATGCTAGCAAACAATAGATTGAGTTAATTGTTCCAATAGTCACTAAACTTAGGTCAATGTTTTTTATTAGTCACCGAAATTTAAAATATCGAATTTTGATCATTCAACTTAAATTCATGTCTTTAATTGCTTACTGAAATTTAAAATGTCAAATTTTAATCACTGAACTTTAAAAATATTATACATTTATCAATCTAAGATATGGATCTAAATTCAATAAGAAATCGAAGACATGGGCTAAGTTCAATGATCAAAATTCGATATTTTAAATTTTGGGATCAATCAAAAACATGGCTTAAGTTCAGCAACCATTGGAACAATTAACTCATAATTGATTAACGAGTCAAAAATGTTAAAATACACAAAACACTGAAAAGAAAAAATCCACTAATTATTCTAGAAAAAAACCTAAAATTTTTGCTATCGAAAATGCCGGATGCAGATGAAATCAGAAAACTTCCAATTGACATTTCATTCGGTCGACTCGGAGGTAAAATTCTTTTAGATTCCAATGTTTATGCTGCCGTTTTCGATTAGTAATCTTTCAGAAATTTTATTTATTTACATTTTTTTTATCTGAATTTAAAATGAAGAATGGCTGGTGGATCGGAAGAGAATTCCATCGAATTGGAGGAAGCGATTGGCGGCGGTGAAAGCGAAGATTTCGGCGGCGTTTGCTGCACTGCCCAAAGATATTGATCCTTTATTCCTAACCCTGGACCTTGAAGGTTCTTTTTTTTACATATAAATTTATCGTGAATTACTGATTAAATACATAATTATTTGTAGTTTTCTAGGAAAAATTCATTCACTATTTTTAAACCAGTCAATTAGATATACATGTGCATAGTGCCAGGTGGGTGCTATTTTAGTATCCGTAATTTAATAATTGATCGAAAGGCTCCTTACGGTTACGTACACCTCTTTTGATTTGTTGTGTGCTTTCCTCCTTTTTCATTTTTTATTTGGAATGAGTATTGTGTTGAGTTTTTAATTGCAGTGGGAATTTTATTCTTTTTTCATTTTTGCAAGATTAAGCAGTTTAATGTTTGAATTTGAATATTAATAATTTTCAGATTAGCATTAACTGAGTATTTGAAAAAATTTCATTGTTCTGATCATGAAGGGAAATTAAATATACGTCGCAACTATATTAAAAAAAAAAAAAAAAATATATATATATATATATATATATTATACTCATTTTGTAGCTCATGTTGAATAACATAAATTGGCTCGAGAATATATATATATATAATATTCTCATAAATATTGATTTGTTCAATCAATTTTAAAGGTAGAATAAAGGTGTTGGAAATTACTTTTGACTTTGCATAAACCTGAAAATCTGTAATCCTTTTATCAATTGTTGTGGTTATATACAATTTATTTGAACAACATTTCAAAGTGAAGGTTTGTTAGTGCATGAATGTGTGACTTTATGTACTGACTTGGACTTTAAATTTTAGTATCATTATAATATGAGTTAATTTCTTTTGTCATGGCCATTTTTATTATGAGATCACAATAAATTTTCAGGAATTGGGTACTTGGAATCGAAGCAAATATATGAAATTCTTCTAAAGTCGACTCCTGAAGGCCGTAACATTTTTGGCCGGCTTTCAGGTGCTGCTGTAAGATCTACAAAACAGCCTTTTTATATCTCCTAATGTAATGGTGCTCAATGCAGTTGCTTCACAACTGGTTGTAAATGTGTTTCAATCTTTGACAGGGCAATTGGGAGACAATAGTGCGAGCATATGAAAAAGATCATATTTTCCTTGGTGAGGCTGCTCAGATAATGATCCAAAATGTTAATTACGAAATGTAAGGAAGCATATAACGTATTAAAAGATACATTAGCACGTAACTGTCTTTTATGTTAGTTTCTTTCACTAGTGCTGTTCTTTCAATTGATTGATTTTATATTTGATTTGAAGCCCTTATCAGAAGAAGCAGGTCCAGAAGACTCAACAGCAGCTTGCTGAATTAGAGCGCAAGGAAGCTGATATAAAAAGGAATGCAGCTCTTTCAGCTACAAAATATGATCAGGCTTGTCAGGAGCTAGGCTTGCAGGTTTTGCTTTTCTGTCACACTGTTTATAGTTGTCGGCTTCTCTTGATGTACCTTTAAGAAACAAATTCTCACGCATTGAAGGTTGTGCTCTATAGGGGATTAATGTGAGGTCAGAATTATTAGAAACGGCTACAAAATCTCTTCCAAGCACTTTTAGCAGGATTTTAGAAGTAATTAATGGTGATTCTGTCTCACGGGCAATTGATTTCTACTCAACCTTTGTCAGAGATGCTCATACAGAAAACGGTGTAAGGCTATAGCGAATATTTTTGGCTGCTGATGAAAGCTGGAAATGCATTACTATAAATTTTACTCTTTTTTTGGAAAAAAATAATAATAATTTTGCATTGCAGGCAACTCCTGGATTTGTGTTACCAAATTTGAGGAATATTTGTGAAAGGCCCCCTTCTCTTAATGTTTATGTGACCTCAGAAAATTCTTATACTCTTGTTGCTCAAGGATGCCACGATGAATCAGCACACATGGCTGGGGAAACAGATATGGGGGCTGACAGTATCGACTGGGATATTAACATGGACAGCTCTCAGATTGATTGGGACATTGGCGCAGTGGAAGAGACAGAAGATACTGGGAATGGTTTAGGTCCTTATGAAATTGTTAATGCTAGTGACATTTTGGAAAATTCCCCTCGTAAGGATGTTGTCAATGTCGAGTCTCATCAGGTGGTGTCAAATCCGGAGAACTCCGAAGCTCCAGATGCCTCGATGTCAGAGAGCCCTTGGGATATAGTTGTTGAAAATCCACAGGTTGTTGGAACTGAAGAAGCTGATTTGTCACGTATTTTTTCGGTACCTGGTTCTAATGTGCTTAATGATTCATCCAAAGCTCCAGACACTAACCGTGATAGGAGTCAGCTGTTGGAAACAGAATACCGGAATAAGATCCTTGACGATTTATTTGAGGTCTATGCATGCTCAATTATTTTTACTTGTGTCTAATTTCTATTTCATGTTTGACTTCTGATTATTTTATCTTCTATTTCTGGTTTGACACATCCATCAGATTAAAGCATTTCTGAATCAGCGCGTGATTGAATTGACAAATGAAGAAACCCTGTCCTTGCAACATCAAGTCCAGGCAGTTGCTCCTTTTGTGCTGCAGCAATACACTTCTGATTTGATTCAGACAATGCAATCTGATATTTCCTTGGCTATTTCATTGTTAACCAATCGAAAAACTCGGGACCTGATTATGATACTCAACTCAAGAAGGTGTTAGTTGAACTTGTTTTCATGTCACTTTTGTTTATTTTGGGTTTTACAGTCCTGATGAATCGCATGGACAAGAGGTCCCCGCCCCCCCCCCCCAACCAAAAAAAGAAAAAATCCCTGCCTTTTTTTTCCCCCTTTATTTTTTGCCCTAACTACATCTCTACTTTTTCTTTCTACACTATCATTCTTGTATATTGCAACCAGTGTTATCCTTTATTTAAACTTGAGTAGTGACTCCATTATATTCTCTAAATTTCAGATTCTTAGATCGTTTAGTAAGCACACTGGAGGAAAAGAAGCATCATGAATTCAAGTTAAAGGAGTCACTGAAAGACCTGTCACATAAACGCATGGAACTGCAGAATTCTTTATCTTCTTCCTGGCCTAAACAAGTGAGTTCATTTGGCACGAGAAATTTTTTGTGGAGGGCTTCTTCTCTCTGTGTGTGTTTCTTGGGGGAGAAGGGAGGGTTAAGGACAGGAAAGTTTCCTTTAAAATATGAGTTGTCTAGTTGAATATCTCCCTCAATATTTGTTAACCGTGGCCTTTTACTGATAAAAAATTGATGGAAATATTTATTCATATACAGTAATATTGTAATATGAAATTTTTAAATAACTGGAATACATGGAATTGAGAGAAGAAAAGTTCTTTTAATAGAAAATAACACAAGTTCTTCCAATATAGCAACATAGTACCTGTTAGTTTTGTATTTGTTAGTGAAGTAGGTATTACGGTCTTACTTTTTCAAATATAATCATTAATTGCCGTTTCTGGCCAACAATTACTTCCCCTTTCTTGCTTTACTACTGGTTTTATTTTTATTATTTAATATTTATTATTTTTATCTTATATAATATACTTCTCATTCGATATGCAGGAAGCAGCCATTGTTAAAACCCGGGAGTTAAAGAAACTCTGTGAGAGCACGCTTTCATCAATGTTTGATGGAAGACCCGTCAATATTATAGGAGAGATTAGTGCATTATTGAGCAGTAGCTTTAATTTGTCAAAGTCCTGAGGCATTGGTTTTTTATTGACGTTCACGAATAAGTTCATCATTTTCGATACTAATGACTGAACATTCCCTTGCAAACATTGGAAGCTGCCTTTGTTTCTCCTGTAGTGTAATTCTCACTGCTTAGATGAGCTGAATGGCATTAGAATCAGAAATTTGTTTTGCTCGTATGGGAAACTTGGCTTATGAATATGGCAAATTTTGGGCGTTGGCTGTGATAGCAATGTCACGAGAGTTGGAATGAATCCAGTTTGACTTCGAAAATCAATAACCATTAGTAAGAATTAGCTGCTCTCCTAGTTTTACGTTCATGGTGTGTAATATTCCTGTTGAGTCTGAAATTTGGTCTACATACTCTGTGAAATGAAGCTTGGTACCAACCGGTTCACCAGTGAGCATAATTGATTATTCAATTTGACATTTGATAAAGCATGCAAAGTCCTGCTTCTGGAAACCAAATAATAATGCCTACTGCAGCCTGCGATAAAAATCCTGTCAAAGGGGAATGGGAAATTTCAGTTTTCCCCCCTCCTAGTTCAGTAGGGCAATGATTTTGAAAACAAACAGTATCAAAAGTTTATTTGTCATCCAATTACATAAAACACAAGCACACAAGTCTTCTTAGGTCTCTCCTAGCAGAAGAATAGAGAGAAACATCACACAAAAGCAGTAGCTCACAAGAACTTTAGCAGCACATGTTTTACTTTATTGAACACACGAGGATCCAAAGACCTTGGCTTTAGAGAAGGACACTCAATGTGACCAGTGCATATGCTCGACTGAAGATGTATAACCAGTCGAGAGCTCGAGTTCATGGAATTGTCCTCCACCCTGTCGAGCTGTCTCGAGCTCACTGGAATACTGACTGTTGGCTGGATGTGAGCCAAGATCAGTACTAGCTTGGTTGTCTTTGAAACCCCATGGAAGACTCAAAAAGTTGCCAAAAGGTGTACCATGTGCAACTGATGGCTGAACCACGGATGTCCCATTGGCACCATATAAGGTGTTTAGCCCTGGACTCGAGGGTATGTTTCTAGAGCCCCAGGGCTGATTTGACAGAAGAGAGCGAGCACAGACGGAGTCCGAGACTCCACTGAAACTTCCGGAAGATAATCCTGGACCTGGATAGCTGGCACTAGTTGTTGAACCTTGCAGAAGAATGGATGGAGGATTATCTGGGTTGCTATGCCATGGTGGAAGAAACTTACTTGTGACGGTAACTTGATTCCCCAGTCCTCGTTCAGATGACAACATATTTGGCCATAAAGTCCTCCCGGAAGGACTTGGGTACAAAGAGAAGTCCATCACAAAACCTCCGTTTCTGCCATGGGTTTCTGTCAAGGCAAATATCAAACATCTGAACTCAGTTCCAGCACAAAAGAAAATTATCTAAATTCAAAAAATGAGGGCTTATGAAAAATATTAGCATTAGAATTCAGCAAGAGTTCAATCAGTAATTGCTAACCAAAGATGGATGAAGAAAAGTTTCCATAGCGAGTGGAAAATGGAGATCCAGGTGGTGGCTTCCTTCGACGCTCATTGTGTCCGGCAAGTCTTCTGCGGCAGCTTCGTTTTCCTTGGTCAAATTCAGACAATTGATGAAACCTGGAAAAGGCTACCCGAAAAGATCTTATTCCAACAACAATGAAGGCTTTAAGACATAAAACACTGTTATTCAGCTAAAACAAGATTCAAGAATGTTAACTGTCGAAAATATATCCAGCCTGATTTTCACTTTCCACAAATTTCTGCTACAATTAACACTTGGACTCACAACCCATTGAAGTTTAATCATCCTATAAAGTGTTGGAGCTGATCTCTTGAAAAATGGATATCCACTAAGTTGATCCCTCTTTTCTTCTTAGAACATCTTAAAGAGGATCTCTATTTTTGAAGAGCATACTTTACAATTTGAAGAGCATCTATAAATTTAAAGAGTAAAAAATTTTAAATACTTCGACGGGCTCTTTATTTTTAACACTTAATTTTACTACTTCTCTATTTTTTATTTTGACTAGCTTCCCTTCAAATTGTTATATTATTGAATATTTTCTTCCACTGAAAATTGAAATAATCTGAATGCATTTAATTATAGAGTGTCTAGCTCTCGAAACTCTCCAAATTTGGAGAGCCAAGCTCTCTATTTATGTTAAAAATAGTCTCTTGAAGTATAATTTTAAAACTTGACTCTTTAAAATGAATAACATCTTATTTTTAAAGAACCTCTCGGAGATGCTCTTATAGGTTAAAGAGACTACTAGATAAAAATATCAGTAACGTGATTGTCCAACAGTTCTTATTATATGATTATTACAAACAATGCTCCCTACAGTGCACACCTCGTGCAGCCCAGTCTCAGATCGAGCTATGTGTGGTCCTCATTCACATGTGCACTTAATTGAGCCTTCTACAACACAAGTGTCTTAACAGACATAATTACTAATAAGGTATTCTTCCAGCTCTTCGTTTTCCACTTGGGTTAAGAAATAGAAACTTATCTTACCTTATTTGCATTAAAGCCCATCAGCATCCCTCCAAGTTCCCTTTATTTTGGAAATTCTTCAACATTAATTAGTCTTTAGCTCCATTATAGGCAAGATCATTACTCATGCAACACTACTTACTAGAATAATAACAGCCAAAGATCAATCTACACCTTGGAGCTCAAAAAAACTGGAGAACCAAAACAAAGTTTCAGCACACTCTGCACGCATGTGAATTTCAAACATATAACGATATCTGGCCTGATATTCCCTCATGATCCAACACCAATAAATTCCAATCCTATAAAACTAATAAGTTAGAGAATTTCTATGACCTGTAAGAGAAATGTTTGGATCCACTAGTATTTTCAATGTCACATTAATTACTGTACATCACAGGTAATCTTGCCGCCTGTAATTCTTTCATGTTCTTCCAAGCAGACATTTTTTCAAGTCAATTCGAAGCAAGAATCTAACAGTTAGAATTGCAAAACAGGAAGCACTAATAATCCAAGAACCTTCACATATCTGCACATGTACGAGTTTTTATAAGTATACATTCATCTTAATGACATATCCTGTACTTGCATCTTGAAATTATTTTCCAAAACTAATATATTTGTATGGAATCATGTCGGATAACCTTATGCTCAATGCCTACCAAGTTACAAATTTATAGTTTTTTTTTTTTTTTTTTTTTGTAATATTCTAATTTT